ATCTAATATTTTCTTAAGTATATAAGTCTCTGTATATATATAATATAATATATATATCTACTATATATATATTATATATCTTATATATATACTTCATAGATCTATATTAGTATATATATCTTTATATGTATAATATTATAATATACCTATATATCATATATATACTTAAAATATATATATGAATATATATATATATATATATATATATATAGAATAATCTATATATACTATATACAATATACATATATATACTTAAGAATACATAGTATATATATATATATATATAAAAATTATATATGATATATATAGTATATATAATACAATACATATGATATATATTAATATCCTTTATACATGTATCTGTCTCTCCATGTCTGTAGGGATAGTCTATCTATTCGTATCTATATATATTATCTATCTATTAATATCTATATATCTGCTATCATCTGTATATTATCTCTATATCTCCCTCATTCTCTCTCTGCCATAGTAGATATATATTATCTTATATACACTCTACATCTCTCTATATCTCTCTCTCTCTATATCTATATCTTCTCTCTGTCTACTATACAATCTATATATATACCCATATATTCTATACATAGATATTCTATTCACATATTTCTATTACATCTTATACACACATTATTATAATACATCTATATCTATATACCTATATATATATACCTATATAGTTACCTCTATGATCAATTATATATCTTCCCTATACAATAGCCATTATCTATCTCACACCTTATCTCTACCCTCTATATATCTACACTCATATATATCATTACCTCTATATATCTCCCTCCTATACTAGATTACAGCTATATCTCTCCGTTTCTATATATACATATATATATCTACACTATATCTATATCATATATCTGATCCAGCCCTATTAGATCTATTCCTATGATATTTCTCTATATATATATATATCTATATATATTGTACATATATATCGCAGAGACAGATACATATCATATCTCTATAATATATATCTACACACAAGTATTATAGAACACACATATAGATATATACTCCTCTTATTATACACACCGCTTCCTTATACACCACACATATCTATATCTATATATCACACACACATCTAGCTAGATAACTCCATATTCGATATAGCCCCACGTCTATATCGATCTATACACCCCATATCATCACTATACACACTATCTATCTATTACACCCCTATATCTATTCTATAACACACACATCTTCTCTCTATACCCCCACACAACAACTCCACTATATAATCTTCTCTATACTATATATCTATATTATATATAATCCTATATATATATCAATATGTCTCATCTATCTCCTTATATATATCTATTTTATATATCTATATCTATTCTATCTTGTCTATGTATATCTCCCTATATTTATCTAATATATATATATAGATCTATCTTATGATAATCCCTACATATCGATCTACATATAGCATATAGAATACTATATATAGTAATACATCGATATATATAATTACACACTACTGTCATATCTACACCTACACACTATATATATATACTATCTCATCTTTTTCTATCTCTCTCTATATATCTCTATCTATTATAGCTCTATCTCTCTGTGTGTGTGTGTGTGTGGTGTGTGTGTGTCGATATCTGTATCTTCTATATATACATATATCTCTCTCTATCTCTCTTATATTCTATTATATCTATTATCTCTACTCCTCTATAGTGTATATATCATCTCATGTCTATCTAATAAGGTGTCCTCTATATTCTATGGTGGTACTCACTATCTGTTGTGTCTATTACTTTATTATATATCTTATTATATACTATTATATCTATCAATTATCTTATTGTCTATATATAGATATCTATCAGATATCTATTATATATATATATGTCTACTATCGTCTTATTCTGTGTCATGCTATCTATATGTAATGCATTATCTCTGTCTTATTATACTATATATAGCCTACCTTATATCTATGCTCTCTTACATAGTCTCTCTATTAATATATTTCCTCTCTATCTATATATCTCTCTACTATATCTAGATATAGTTATCTATCTGATGGTATATATATATACTATATAGTAGATATAGAGTACGCTAGTCTATACTATCTCTACTACTCTGTACTTTTATATATATTTATGTATTTATATATCTTTATTTGATTCTTACTATTCTCTATTTCTATATCTACTCTCATATCTATATATATATACTTATAGCACTCTCTATCTGTATTTTCTGTTCTATATATTTCTCATTTCTCTACTAATATATATATATATATTCATCTCGTAGCTCTATCTATGTATCCTTTGCTGTGTGGTATATTCTCTATCTTCTGTGTGTCTACATCTATATGTGGTGTATCTATAATATCTGTTGTTATATCTCTATCTTGTGTATATCTCATTATATGTTGTCTTTCTATATATGTGTGTATCTATCTATCTCTCTCTATCTCTATACTTATCTATAT